TTTTCAAAATGTAAAAGGGAAGAGAGGAGGTGGCTGAAAATTGTCATGACTGTGATTTATTTGAAACTGGAAAGCAGGGATTTTAGTTGTTGTTTGTTTATTTCTACCTTTTCAATGTCAGTTCAACCTTTCTGATCTAATATTTTACACCTATGTTTCTCTGGTTTAAATTATTTTAAAAGAACAAGGTAGAAGACCATCTCCATAACACCTTTTTTCTTGTGGTAAGCAGTAGCCATAAGAAAATATCTTCTTTCCAAAACATGCTGTGGAGCAGAATTGCCTCTGCTTTTCACAAAAGATTTACAAGGAAATATTAAATCTGATTGTCAGATTTCTCATAAAAGCATACACCGTCATTCATCTTCCACTGAAATGCAGGGGCAGAATTTTGTGAAGAACACGGCCTACATTTCAAGTGCTTCAATGTAAAATAGAATTGTCTATTACTTTATCTTTTTCCTGAAGTGTTTACATGCTCCCTATGTTACTGATGATGGTTGATTTTTCTGTGATTTACACTGGACAACTTCAAGTTCAATAGCTATAGCAATGAGTGGTATTTAATTTTTATTTGGCCTGTAACTAAGAATTATTTTTCTAACTTTTCTGTTTGTATGTTTTTTGTTGTTTTGTTGTTGTTGTTGTTGTTTGTTTGTTTGTTTGTTTGTTTTTCTTTTAATATTGATTGCTTTTATCCATTATGTGGGAGAAATGTCATGTGCTTCTGTACCACTGAATCTGACTGGGAAGACATCAACAGTAACAACACTTTCTATTCAGCTGTTTGTATTTCTTGTACACTATTTACTACAATTAAAATAAGATTTCCTCCTACTCTATCCCGTATCCCCTTGATTTTTGATATTCTTCTAGCCTTAAACTGGAAAGTACAAAAAAAAAAAAAATGGCAAAAAAAAAAAAGCTTAAGGAAAAAAGATGCACACTAAGCATCTCTCTCACATCTGTGGTGTTTCTTAAACATAAAAGTTTAGGTTGTATATACTCTTACAAGTCTAATGTCTGGAAGTATAGATCTCCACTTGTACCTAATCTTGCTAATGAACTTTACATTTCCTTACAGATCAGAGAACTGTTAGCAGGAATGGAAACTTTTTGTTTATATACAGTAGTAGAACTGACATAGCTGACTTGTTAATGAAGATTTTTTTTCATAAAGTAAAATGAGAGCTCTTTCCTTTTTATATGCATTTATACTGAGCCAATATGAAATTCCCTGATCAAAATACATACAGAGCAACACTTCTTGTACTTTTTTTACTTAACCAGCTTTCTCTTATTAGGTATCTTTTCCACCACAGCTACAGGTTTAATTTTATTAAGAGAGTATGACCACTGGCTCCCCAGAAGGGAAAAGCTTGTTTCCATATTGCTATCCAGACCACTCCCTTCACTGGGAATTAGGTTGCCTGCTTGCAACAGTAAAATAATTTTGAGCTTATGTGAAAAAGCCATTTGCATCTTGGATGGATTTCACAAAAAAACAGTTCATTGGGTAATAACCAGATTAAATAGGCCATTCTGCATCTCATAATGCATGAAATAATGGATTCCACATTTTTTAATCATCATTTTAATCGCTGATGATGAGACAAGATGCAGTAAGACCAAACTGTATGAATATGTTGATTTAATAAATACATGTGAGTAGCTGTCATTTTATTGACAAAGTTTTGTACTTTGGCTAGCTGTATTAACAATGCAGTTGTCTCTCTATATCAGTTACTTTGTGCTCATTCAATGCTCATTTTGCCTGGCTCATTAGAGATATATCTTTTGATACCGTCTAGATGTATGTTGGTTCTGACAACCATTGTATGTCCCTGAATCACAAAAAAATCTTTATGTAGAGATAATTAAAACATTCACATGTTTTGTTCAAAGATAAAAGTCACTCAGTACATTTTTAAACTGCTTTTATTCATTTTGCTATTTCTACAACAAAATAATACGTACTCAGATTCAAACAAAATTCTTTGTTTCTTTTTTTAGAGGAGGGTGTGGAGGTAGAGGAGAGGGAAGGGTCATTTCACTGTTTCTACTAAAAAATAAAAAAATAAAAAAGTCAGGAGAAAATTTCATAGATTCCTAAGAAAATGAAAGCTTAAGATTTTCAATCAAACCTCTAATACTACAATACTACTTTATGGAAAACTACTGTCTTTTTCTTTTTTTTTTTTTTTTTTTTTTCTCCCCACCCACACTTTATATGCCCTATTTCATTAATTTAAGCAACTCAGCATGTATTCATGCTGTTCATTAGCAAGGACCAGAGTAAGCCATGGTTTCACTGAGGTAGTCTGATTAAAAACTACAAAGGCATTGAATACCCAAAGTTGTATAAGCTACAAAGTCTACAAAGTCTATGTTACAAAGTCTATGTCAAATGGAAAAAAAAAAAAAAAAAAAAGTATTTACTCAGTAATGTATATTAGATGTTATTTTGTTCCCATTAAGTGCATGAGCTTAAGTTTCATTTCTGGACCAGATTTTCATTTCTAACCTAATTGATGAAAGCATCATCACTTTATTTTGCTACTAGCTGAAGCAACACCTTCTGTCTAATGGAAAATACCAACCAAATAGGCATGTTAAAAGACTTCTTCCCACTAAAGAACATCAGTTTCATCTTATTTAAATTGGGAAAGAGTTTTTAGAGATCAAGCTAATTTTTACATCCATAATGTAAAATAAAAAGACTGATACGCTGGGGTTCAATACATCTGTATTGAACAAAAACAAGTCAATGAGAATGAACATCAGCAGCATATTGATAGACTGGGCATGGCATGTCCCCAAGGTATCTCCCCAAGTATGTGACACAGCTGGTACTGGAGGCAAGGAGAATTGGGGGCTGAAGTCAACTCAGCCATGGCAGCTGAGAGCCCCTGTGGAGTGTGTGCTCTGACCCCTCAGCTCCTCCTGAGAGTAACAAGGGGAGTTGTGGGCTGGTGGTTCTTGTTCAGGCATTGGAGAATCCACAGCTGATGCTGGGATGCTTCCAGCAATGGGCTGGAAGGAAAGGTCAATACATGGCCAAGTAGATGCACTTTGTTTTGTACATAAAAACAATTTGGTCTCTCTTTGCCCTGGGGAGCTCATAGACGAAGGATAACAATGCTGTTTTCATGCTCTGCCCTGGTCTGTGGTCTCAATGTTCAGGGTCCAAGGAATGTGAGGATATAAAAACTTTTTCCAAGAAAAGGTGAGTGAGATGCTGGGGGAGAATTGGCAAGGATGTAAACCTGCTAAGTTGTGTTCCTGGTTAGGGCAAGACCACATTGTATTTTAAAGTTTTCACCTTCTTTACCTCCCTATGGGGGCACTGCTAGTGTATACCAGACACAAATATATATTTGAAGTCTATAAACAAAAATAGGAGTGCAAATCTTTAACCTGGGCAGTTATGAGGCTGTAGCTGATTCCTTCATAATGGTAGCCACTGAAGTCTGCCTGTCCCTTTGCTTTAATCCTAACTGAATACCATAACTGAATACCAGATCTACCTGTGGCTTTTCCATTTTTCGATGTAAATTGAAAAAAATGTGCATTATCTTTGATTGTTCTTCTAGGAAAATAACAAAACCAACCAAACAAAAATGGTTGCTTGTTTTACACTTCTTCTTTTACAATTATATCTGAACCTCTGGAGAACACAAGACATGCCTAAATACTTTCCTCAGAACCAATCTGAACAATTCCTTACACTAAGATACCAGTGGCCATCCATCATGATGCCTCTCCCTCCTTTTAGATCTCTGTTTCAAATATAACAACTCTTGAATCATGCATGTGATGTGTTACCATGTTGATAATTCTTCAGCTTTGAGAGGAAAAACTGGTAAAGACCTATTACTATTAGGTGTTTACATCACAGAAAATGGCAGCATAACTTGTACTAGATATGACCACATAATTTTTATTCAGGTTTAATTAAAGAGGTTTGGAGATGGAATAGGAATAGCCACAGACTTTGAGGAAGTATTGTGAGTTGATGTTGAAAAACTTTTGCAGGGTAATGGAGAAAAAAAAATCCCCTGCATTCCTCTGTCTTGTGGTGTATCTGATCTATGGGAAAAACAAGGATTCTAATTTAATTTTACAGTCTACAGTGGTATTTTTATGAAGGGTGTGATGCATGCACCATTTGAGGTTTTTTCTCTGTTTCTTGGGTTGCCAGTCTAACACCTTTCACAGGAATTAAATCCTAATTTAAAATGTGGAAAGCCAAGATAATGCCCAAATATTAAGCACTCACAGACAAAAACTAAGAGAAGGCTGTATTCTTCAATTATTTTACCAATATCGCTACATATTTCACAGATTTCACAGAATTTCACAGAATTTCTAGGTTGGAAGAGACCTCAAGATCATCAAGTCCAACCTCTGACCTAACGCTAACAGTCCCCACTAAACCATATCCCTAAGCTCTACATCTAAACGTCTTTTAAAGACTTCCAGGGATGGTGACTCCACCACCTCCCTGGGCAGCCTGTTCCAGTGTCTAACAACCCTTTCAGTAAAGAAGTTCTTCCTAACATCTAACCTAAAACTCCCCTGGCGCAACTTAAGCCCATTCCCCCTCGTCCTGTCACCAGGCACATGGGAGAACAGGCCAACCCCCACCTCACTACAGCCTCCTTTAAGGTATCTGTAGAGAGCAATAAGGTCGCCCCTGAGCCTCCTCTTCTCCAGGCTGAACAAGCCCAGCTCCTTCAGCTGCTCCTCGTAGGACTTTTTCTCCAGGCCCCTCACCAGCTTCGCCGCCCTTCTCTGGACCCGCTCAAACACCTCGATGTCCTTCTTGTAGCGAGGGGCCATATTGTCTCTCTCCTTAAATTATACAAAACTTTAAAGGTGATGAAGAGACAAACACACACACACACAAAAAAAAAAAAAAGGTGATGAAGAGACAAACACAAACACACACACACAAAAAAAAAAAAAAAAAAAAAAAAAAAAAAAAACTTGACAGCAGCAAACAAAATCATTTTCTGTATGGACACTACCTGCAGTTGTGGTATCCTTTCCTCCTCTGTCTTCCTCCTCTGTCTGTCATAGGTATTTGCTCTCCATCAATAGGTAACATAATTTCTTTGTAAAACCACCTTCTTTTTCACTCCTTGAAGAGGAAAAAGAAATGTCACTTGCTGCTTTCTGGACACTAGACAATAGATTATTTTCCACTGCTCTGTTCTTTCCCTTTAAATAATTTCAGATGATAGGACTTATTGGGACAACAGACCAGTTCTTCAGACATTTATATTTCTTACAGGCTTGAAGAAATAGGCAATATCCATCCTTGAATAAGATGTAAAACGATAAAGCTTTTTATATATGACTGAATTTGAAAAGTGGATTTCAAGATCAGCATGCAAACTTAGTAAGAGATATTTATCTTTTAGACAAAAATAATAATAATAAAGCCAACTAACCAAGTGTAAAGAAAACATCCAAGCACAGACCATTTGTATCAGAGTACTAGGGCCTTTATACTCACAGAATAAGAAGTTCTTCATCAGGCTCATAATATTTCCAGAAATAGTTCCACCCTTAAATTAGTGGGTTAGGAATTGAGTGTTCTCAGTGCAAGAATGTTTTACCAGTTCCACTTATGACATAATCTGCAAAGATTCTGCTCGATGCAAGGGAAAAAGCAAAGTGAAAAAGACAAAACTTATATGTGCGAAACCAAAAAAAGAAAATAAACATGAAAGAATAAACAGATTTTCAGGAAATATTGGACATCTAATCAAAATGTTATGTGCTTTAGACAAAAAATGCTGAAAGATGTGATGATGGGCCAGAACTGTTAAATAACAGTGCCTCGTCCTTATTGCTGCATACTTTAGAATAAATGTGTTGTCAGAGAAAATTTATAACTGTAGAAATTGTTACTGCCTAGGAGATACAAACTGTAAGTTTCAGGTCTACTCAATGTTAGAAAAAATTAAATTTTCATTTGTAGTTTTTCTGTGTATTCTTTAAACATGTGGCATATATTGAGGACAAAGTGTTGAAATATGTAACATATGTGAAGTTGGAACAAAATACATAGTTCTTGCTTACATTGCCAAAGGTGTTTATTTCATTGTTTTCACACTCTGACAAATGAAAACATATCATTCTGAAAGTAAGCCCCATGCTCCTCTGAAGAACAGTTCTTTGCACCCATACATACACAAATAATCAGGAATGCTTGTAGACATATCTACTTAAAAAAATAATAATCATCATCATTCACAAGTTTATTGATATTTCTTCTTGAAATAACATTACTAAATGGGGTGAGGAGTGATTTCATAATTTTTTGACAAAATCAGTTGAAATTTTCCACAGTATTTATTGAAATGACATAGTCAGTGATTAAAGTTTCTATTCCATTCCACTTCAAAATAAAGTATTGCTTGTGAGCTAAACATTTTGACCAGCATATTTGCACATGCTTTCTTAATTGTTAACCCAGTGACTATAGAAATAAAACTCGTAAATATACATCATTGTATGTGAGCTTTAAATCAGCATATCCAACATTTCCACAACAAGACTGAATAATGCATTGAAAGACTCTTACCTTCCTAGTAATACTTTGATTCTGAGGCAGATCACTTTCCTGTACAATGGCCTGTCAAGTCATATAAGCACATATATAGCTGGCTTCAGACTCCAGATTACTGGCTAATTAATGCCATGTATTTTTTCTTTGCAGACCTTGGATATAAAATTTTAAAACTCCTTTCCCAATCTCTAGTGTGGAGATGCTGAAAGGAGCAAGATAAAGATCTGATTTAATCTGTGTCAGCAAGATTGCAGCTATGGTTGTTTCATGTGATTATAAAGACAGATGAAACAAACAAACAACAAAAAAAATGACCCACCCACTTAGCAAATGTTCATACTGACTTTTTCTTTTCCTTGGAATGATACTTCAGGATAGGATTCCCCATTACATCTGAAAACATTTCAAAACACTTAAAATTTCCTAATCTTCTTTCTCAGCAATTTCATTTTAAGTGCTCCTTTCTACCAAGACATAGCCCTTGAGACAGCATTTCTTACAAAAGCAGTCAAGCCAGGGCATTTTTCACCTTTGTGTTTTGTCTTTAGTGATATTGCTGTCTGGCCTCAGCTGTAGCCAGCACATATGCCTTTGAGAAGAAACTAATTGAGACTTGGGAGAAAAATCTGTCATAAGGCAAAAACAGATCTAGTGCTTGTTTCACTTAATCATTTCTAACATTGAAATATCTATGTTAAGCCTATGTGAATCATAGAATCATTTAGGTTGGGAAAGATACTCTAAGATCAACATATCCAACTGTTAACCTAGCATTGCCAAGTCTACTGTTAAACCATGTCCCTGAACACCACATCTACAACTCTTTTGAATACCTCCAGAGATGGTGACTCCCTCCTGGGTACTTCTCTGGGCAGCCTGTTCCAAAGCTTCATGACCCTTTCAGTGAAGGCACAACTTGTGCACTCCCGGCACAACTTGAGGCAATGCCCTTTAGGGGTCTGTCTTGGGACCAGTGCTTTTCAATATTAATTGAATTCAATTAATTAATTGAATTAATGAATGACATATAAGATGGGATTGAGTGCACCCTCAGCAAGTTTGGAGATGACGAAAGGCTGAGTGGTGCAGTTGATACCAAAGAAGGAAAAGATGCCATTTAAAGGGACCTGGATAGGCTGGAGAAGCGGGCCCATGTGAACCAATGAAGTTCAACAAGTCCAAGTGCAAGGTACTGCATCCAGGTTGGGGCAACCCCAGACAGGAATGCAGACTGGGAGAAGAACTAATTGAGAGAAGACCTGCAGAGAAGGACTTGGGGGTTCTAGTAGATGAAAGGCTCAACATGAGAAGTGTGTACTTGAATCCCAAAAGGCCAACTGCATCTTGGGATGCATTAACAGAGGCATGGCCAGCAGGTCCAGGGAGATGATTGTCCCCCTCTACTCTGCCTTCGTGAGGCCCCACCTGGAGTACTGCATCCAGGTCTGGGACCCCCAGCACAAGAAAGACATGGACCTGTTAGAGTGAGTTCAGTGGAGAACTAGAAAGATGACCATAGGAGCACCTCTCCTATGAAGAAAGGCTGAGAGAGCTAGGGATGTTCAGCCTGGAGAAATCTCTGGGTAAGACCTCTCTTTGGTCTCCATTGAAAGGTGGACCATGAAAGGTGGACCATAAAAGGTCCACCTTGTGACCTTTCCATACTTAAAGGGGTCTTACAAAAAAGATGGAGGAGGACTTTTTATTTGGGTAGATAATGATAGGAGAAAGGGGAATGGTCTTAAACTAAAAAGGGATAGATTTATACTAGACATTAGGAGGAAATTCTTCACTGTGAGTGTGGTGAAGCATTGAAACAGGTTGCCCAGAGAAGTTGTGGATGCCCTTGGAGGTGTTCAAGGACAGGCTGGATGGGGCCTTGGCTAACCTGATTTAGTAGGTGGCATCCCTGCCTGGGAACAGTGAGGGGGGGTGGAGTTAGATGACCTTTAAGGTTCATTCCAGCCCAAGCCACTCTATGATTCTATATTTTTATGTTTTCCTGTCTTACCGCTTGGTGTCTGGGAGAAGAAACCAACCCCCACCCTGCTACAACCTCCTTTGAAGTAGTTAGTTAGACTGATAAGGTCTCCCATTAGCTTCTTTTTTTCTGAGTTAAATAACCACCGTTCCCTCAGACATTTCTGAAAGGATTTGTTCTCTACACCCTTCACCAGTTTTGTTGTCCCTGAGACCCTGAAATGCACAACTGAATGCAAGCAGAGTTGGTTTGATTGTTTGTTTGTTTGCAAAATCTCTTTTTAATGTTGTCTTTCGCATCAAATACAAGCCAACTGATTTTTTTCTTTATTCAGTAGAGCTAACTCCCTGTTCAGATTATGAGAATACTTCAAAAATAGTTCCTTTCAGCTATACATTTACCAGGAAAACTGTGCAACCACCCACCCTTCCTCACATCTGTGAGTAGTCTGACATGAAATTATGCCTTTTCTCATATTTCCACCAGGTATGCATTCTTCATCCTCTCTGAAAAATCCCTCCTGTAGTGTGTATGTAAACATTTTCCTTTCAATATTATTCCAAATACATCATTTGGATTCATAAATCTTTGTGTTTTTAAAGATTTCCCAAAATTGGTACATTTTTAAGGTTCTAAATCTCTTGCTGTTCAGTAAAAACAGTCCTTTTTAGGTTGGTGGTCTGCATTTCTTCTTCCTCAAATACAGTTTTTAACTGAATGTTTAGAACTAGCCAGAATCTTAAAACGGTCATGTTATTTGTTAAGAGGTCAACCAGCACCAGAGATTGACTCTCTGATAGTGTGATAGTGTAGAGATTGACTTCAAGTCATGTTTATGTACCTATTCACTTCCCACTAATGATCTGGCAGCATTCTTCAGAGCAATCTCCCACAGAATTGTAATATTAGGAAGGTGTTTCTTGTACCTTTTAGACCCAGTGGTGCATTTTTTCATATAGGGACATATAGGCACCTAGTGGCCACTGTTCAGGAACAAATTTTTAATTTTTATAATACTTTCAATCCATGTACTTTTGTTTTCAATATCTTTGTACCAAAAAAAAAAAAAAAAAAAAAAAAAAAAACTCTCCTCAGAATTTCAGAAAGTACATTAAAGCATTCCATGCCTGTTTGAATAACCTGGACATTGTGAGCTGCTGTTTTTAACTCATCTGCAAAGGCTCTAGTTTCTTTCTTCCTCTAACTAATGCTCAGTCAAACTGCTGGAATCTTTTGTTCTGCTTTTACTCCCCCCCCTCCTCCCACAACTTCTGTTGCTTGAACAATGCATACAAAGATATCTGTGTTACTCTTCCTGGAAAAGGAACAGATTCTTCAGTCTTGTAGTACTCTGAGAATTTATTCAGTCTGAGATTTTAGTTGTCCCTTGCAAAGATCACCACATTGGCAGCAGAACTGGAGTACATTCACAAACTTTCTCACTTAGGCTAGTGGGTCAGAGCTCACAGTTCTCTTTTTCTCAAAATAAATAAATAAATAGATAAAATCCTGTTCCATACTTAAGAAAAGCATGAGAATGTCTCACCAGGATGAAATGTGCATTATAAAAGCTAGGTAAAAGTATCACGATGTATAAAAAGTCTTATCCAATACAGAACCAAATGTAATACAGGACAGCAACTTTTCTTTTTTTTTTTTTTTTTTTTCTGAATCTGATAGAGCCTCATTTAACTCAGGTGTGATTTCTGATATAACCATAATTGTGAATCTGAAATTTTGGTTCCATGTTAGAGTCTGAATGCCATCTCTCTGGATCCCACTGCTGAGCCACTTCAATGCTTAATTACAGCTATCCAGTAACTCCTCTTATCTCTAAATCTTTGTAGCTAAAAGTAAAATTCAAGAGTTAATTTAATGAAACAGCTTCCTCACTTAAGAAAACATTCAAACTAATTTCTAAACACAGAGTTTCCAAATCAGTAGCTAGGCCTGACCTTTGTAAGTTTCCTAGAAATGTATTATTATTATTGTGGACAGCTTTAATGTAAATAAAATGATCTTAAAGGGAGTCTTTTTAGAGGTCAAACATGGGTTATTTGAAAAGCTGGGACATCCGTTTGTTCTATCAGTTAGAATCTGAGTAATTCCAGTGTTTCACTCATACAGCTCCTACCACCTCTGTTTTTCCATTCCACTGGCAGAACGATTTCATATTTCACATGTAACCCATATGCACAATTATAATTTGTATACCTTTCAGCTGACTTTATGGAGTGAACTGATTTAACTTTTCCTCAGGAAAAGGCATCATAAAAGTAGGTGTTGGTATGCTGAGTTCAAGTGTTTTTCCTCAGAGTGAGCTATAGCAGTTCCTGCAGGCACTAGAATCTGATAAGAATAGAGTTAAGATTCATTTCAGATTTCACCTAGAGAGATTTGTTTCCTTGTACAGAATTTTTTTTTTTTTTTTTTTTTTTTTTTTTTTCTTGACATTGAGCACTGGTTAGCTGCTTCAGGACTTTGCAGGCCTCGAATGGTCTAGTACAACTCTTGGGTAAGTAATGTTTCAGTCTTCTGTAACAGTGCCACATTATTTCTTTCTTTGTTTTTTGATATTAAATAATTAGGCTTTTAGAAACTTTTTAACTAGTTCCATAACAAATACTAAATGCAAAAAGCAGATACCATTTCATGTTTCTGATAGCACTGGAGCCTCTCCTGTGTTACGTTTCTTTACAATTAGGAGGAAATACATGCTAACAAAAGACTGGCCTTTCAAGCAAGAGCTGTTCACAGTATAAGAATTAGCTCTGCCTTGCCAAAATTCTGGATTTGGTGGGTTCATTTTTGTTTCAATTTAGCATAGTTGAAAATGTCTTGAAAGGAATTTGGAAAGATGTCGTATTTTTTTAAGAGAAGCTGTCATTTACAAAGAAACTTCTTAATTTCTTCTGCCTTGAACATTGCTTTGGTATGGACTTGGTGATTCAGATTCATGATTCAGTATAATGGTATAGTTTTTTCTACCATCAGGGTGGTATTTTTGATTTCATTTTAGAAAAGAGAGGAATCAAACATTCTTTCCCTTCCTTTATTCTTTTTTTTTTTTTTTTTTTTTTTTTTTTTCCCTGTTCATATCAGGTATTCTTTCCAGCCCTAGGTCATAAACAGCTTGTAAAATACTCTGAGGTGATGCAGTTATGGGTTGCTGGAACCCTGATCATCTCATACCTCCAAGCATTTATGGTCTTTTCTTGTCCTATATCCACAGATTTGATAAAAAAAAAAAAA